GTCGTCGTCGTCGGGGTGGTCCGCACCCCTTCAGCAGAGGAGAGCCGCTGGTGGCCGGTGGCCGTGTTGCTGACTGTGCCAGGGTCGTACAAGCGCGTGGCGCTGCATGCGTGTGCCTGTTGCATAGTCAGCACAGTCCTGGGCCGTCTCGACGACTTTGGAATAGATGTGCTATCGCGGTCGGCTCCCCCCTTCGCGGTATAATTTGGCCCCATAAGAACTCAACGCCGTGCAGCAGCAGAGAGGGACTTGCGACGCTGCTTACAAGTTACAATCACCCCCCAGATGCACGTCTCACCTTGGGGCTCGACGGCAAGGTCCTTACCTGGGGCTTGTACCTAGTCCACACCGCGGCGGCTGCTGTCATCTTGCTGGACACTTTCACTGAGCTCGCGGGGGGGTGGGGGGGTGCGCGAGAGCCTTTGGCGTGTGTGAGATTGGCGGGGTGAAGGGACGGCCGGAGACGGAGGGCGGCGGCGTTGCGCGAGAGGGGCGGAGCTGGCTGTGCTCTTGCCACTGAGAGCGACAGTCAGGGAATGAGCACAGCGAGCGCAGCGCGGGCCGGCCCAGCGGGCGTTGCCTGCCAGCTGCCTTCCCTCCTCCTCGCGGTGTGGCGTGGGGGGGGGCTCGGGGAGCGAGCCGGGGGCGCCCGGCGGGTCACCTGCCGCCCCTCGTAGAGGGGGTCCCCCAATAAACCGCGTCATGGAAGTTCGTGACCTCTTCCCGTCTCGGGAGGGGAGGGGTGGGGAATGACGTCGAAGCCACGTTCATCGCCAAGCTCCGCGCGCGGGCTACAAATGTTGATCGCGCTGAGACGAACAGCCGCCGCACACACCTGCTCGCCACATGGCTGCACTCGCGCCGGGCCGGCGGGGCTATTGGTGGGGGTACAAATATTATGGGGTCCGAACAGGATTGTTCGGACGGTCATTGGACTCCAAACAGACCCCATGATATTTGTACCTCACCCCATGGTATTTGTACCTCGGGTTAAAAACTTATGGGGTGTCATTGGACTCCAATGACCGTCCTCATCCTTTTGGGATCCCATAATATTTGTATACAACC